CGACCGAATATAACTATTAGAACTAGATTGGATATAAACAAATCAAGTACACTAACCCGAACTTAAATTTCTATACCAAATTAAACACAACCAATTGCAATCGAAGAAAGAAGTCAAACCAATAAGATAGTAAAACCTCCTATCTATTATTATTTGGGCTAATTTTTGCTAACTAATAAGATGAAAAATGTATGTAATTTAGAAAAATAAACCAAAAAGACCCTCTACATATTTGATCAATCAAGATTCGAAAGTGAGTCTTTTATAATACATAAGCTACTTTTATAAATTATTTTAAAAATTTACAAAAAAAACTAAAATTATTATATGGGGCATATTTTTAATATTAGATAAGTTCAAATTAACTATTTACGAGATCTTCTAAACGAAATCTAAACTCATTTTTTCATTAAAAATTGACTTACCGACATTTCTCGTAAATTAAATCTCCATACGTTGTCAGTTTTAATTAATGCCTTAAATTTGGAATCTCACTCGATCTTATTTCCTCTTCGAGTTGCACAGCTTGGACCACTTAGCCCATGTCACAAAATATTAATAATCATATATTCAATGTGCGGACAAAGACTTTGATAATATCTTTTTTTTTAATTAACATGTTTGAAAAAAATAAACATCCAATAATATAAAAGAATAATGCGATATTTTCTTACAATATCTTCTTACTAATATCTTAATAATATAAAATAAGGTGTCAAAAAGTAATATAAAATAAAAACTTGAGCATAGCAAAAGGGTTGATCCATGTAAACTGTGATTTTAAAAAATAATTTTTTATATATACATAAAACATTAATTAAAAGATTCAAGTTGAATTTCAATATATTAACATAAATTTGATTTTTTTGGTTCTTCTTTTTCATAAAGAAGTCTTTATTGCAATAAAAATTTGTTGTTTTTCTGACTTATCCTTCGGTTGAAACTAACATTTCAATTTCAATCCCATTAAGTTTAATTTTTTAGGCCCAACGTCTTTTTCTTATTTTTAATTTTAATATAATTTTATATATGATTGAAGAAAAACATAATTTTATGCCACCTAAAAGAAAGAGCCAAGAAAGAAATCAAAACACGCTGCTTTATAGTAGTAGAATTCATCACATGATTGTGATTTGGGAGACATGAATTATTGGCTTTGGGAGTGCTGGTATGGGTAATCTGACTGAAGAATTAAAAAAGCTGTAGTAAGGGGTGGTTCACGAATTTTGTTTTCACACCTTATTTTATATTTATTTATATTTTTATATCACATGACCTATTATAATTAATTAATAATACATTCTGTCTTTTTTATTTCTCCATTCTAAGTGCATGCATTTTTAAAAAATGTGAAAAAAAGTTTTAAGAGAAAAAAAAAGAAGATTTTAAAGCGCTTAAACACTATAAAGAATACATACAAAAAGTGTCATTATAGATACAATATATATAAATATATGTTTATTTGACATATAATTACACACAATTTTAGTGAATTTTAATTGAAATTTAACAATATATTTTGTGTGTTTCTATAGTCTATATCCATATTTTAAAATTATTGTGTTGATAAAAGTAATTTTTAATGATATATATAGTGTTACTATAAGATATGTGTCACTGTGTGATAATTTTGTTATTGGAAAATCAATGTGTAGTTTAAATTGTCATAGCGAAAGCAATGTGTAGTTTTACATCTAGGAGAGAGAATGATTTGTATTAATTGCTTAGTTTGATAATTATCTTGAAATAAAACAAATATTTACTTTAACCTTTAAAATCTATTTCGCATGCCTTTTACATTTATGTTTACACTTACTAGAAAAGAACATATATTATATCTTCTCTTAGGTGCTTCGATATTTTATGGTAAGCATAGATTAAAAAAAACATTAAAAAATGATATAAAGTATTTTTTTTAATCTATACGAAACACTCCAATTAAAATAATACTACTTTTAACTCATGGGACTGTGAAAAATGTTGTTCAAATCCAAGTGTTGATCTAAATCATGCATGGACAGTGAAAAGTGTCAATTTATAGTCGGGGGAATGTTCATTAGCGTCACTAAAGTAAAAAAAGTAATGGTTAAAGAACTAAAAGTAAAAACCTTTTCAAAAAAAAGAAAACATTTAATATTAATGCATATATCGATTACTATAATTTTAGTAACAAAAATTTTATTTATTATTTTTTAATCAATGTATACCTTTAAAATAGTAATAAAAGAGACAGAGACTTAACTAGGTGGGCATGTGGAGGAAGTTGGGTAAGTTAAAATGACAGATATATAGTAGTGAAGTGCAAGGTGGCAGTGTTAATCTGATACCTAATACAAACGAGTTTATGGGTTAATATTCATGTGCTATCCACAAAACAACACGTCTTTTCCTAACAACCAAGGTTTGTTTATTCACCATTTTCATGTTTCTATATGCATCGTTTTCCAAATAGTTCAATAAAGATTACCCACCTTCATGCAAACGTGTCTGGTATTTTTTTGTGTTTATAACTTCCAAACACAAATCAAATAATTAATTTTTTTCTTCATCATTTCTCTCCAATATATGATGGCAGGCAGTATTCTATGGGGGCACATTATATTAATATTGATTAAAAAATAACATCCAAAAAAAAAAGTTGTCCACTTGATCTTCGGCCCTGGGTGTTCTGAGTTTCATTCAAATCAAGTTGCGCCTGTAATGCTTGATCAAGAGTATCCTTCATCTTCCTCCTCCTTTGTTCGTGGGCTTCGAGTGACCCAGCGAGCTCTTCCACTGAGAGAAGTGACAAGTCCTTTGACTCCTCAATTACGCATGCAATACTCTCGAAATCATCTGTTAATGATCTCAAGATTTTCTCCACAATTCTACTTACTGGCATTGGCTCCCCATTCCTTCCGAGTTGATTTGCCACCTTCTCCACCCGAGTTATGTACTCGGATCCTTTCAGTCACTTAGAACGGCCCGTTCCAATATTGGAACGGCCAGTTCTAAACTAATAACTGCCCGTTCCCATCTTGGAACAGCCGTTCCAAATTAGGGTTGTTGTATTTTTTTCTAACGTGGAACGGCCCGTTCTGAATTTGGAACGGCCTGTTCTGGGTTACATAACATTTTTTTTAAAAATTTTTTTTGAGTCCCGATAAAATTGATTATTCACACCTCTATGCACAACCTCCAAGATCTCCCATGCTTCCTTTGAAGACGCAGCGTTTGTAATCTTCTCGAAACCTGATTCATCCACGTCATTGTACAAAAAATACAAAGTCGATTTGTCCTTTACTCGTGTCTTTTCCAATGCAGCAATCTGAGCCACAGATTGGTCTTCGTCCTCCTCGGGTTCTCGGTACCCCTTCTCCACTATATCCCATAGACTTTGGGAACCCAACAGGGTCTTCATCTGTAAACACCAATTATCATAATTGGTTTTCTTCGACAGTTGTGGTACGGTCATTCCATTAACAACCTTCGCCATTACTCTCTCTTTCTTCTTTCTTCCCCTTCACAGGCGCA